GTAGAAGCGCCCGCATGACACACTGCGGATTGTGGGAGAGAGCGAGCACACAGCAGCTGCGCCTCTCTATCAAAGCAATAGAGAAAAGTGCTGCACACTCGCCTTTCCTTTAGTGCGTCCTGGTAAAGCCAACCTTCGGAGAGCAGTTGATTCATGTTTCCCGATGTGAGGTACTAGGACTGTCAGCAGGTGACGTTGAAAGGCACCCAGCAGGTCCCAATTGGGGAAAGAAATAGTTTAATTTCATTAAATGGTAGAACAGTATAGGCCTAAGTGAGTGTTTGGATGACATCTTTTTCTGTGCTCCCATGGCTGCAATATAGTTCTATGTTTCTGAGGTTAAGAAAGAGATTTATATTTTGATTTTAAAAAATCAAACTCTTAACACAACTAGAGGAGCCCAAAGCCGGATTTTATGCAGTTTCAGCAGGTGATACGACTGACAGACAACTGAGATTGTCTATATGGTGTACTGTACAACTCTATTTTCTCAGTAAGTGTTTCTATGGGGTCTATGTTATTTGAGAGGCTTTAAATTGTTTAACACTGCTCAGTGGTCACATTGTTAAGCTTTTATTGTTGTTTTTCTATCTCATTGGTCAGTTTTAAATGTGCGTGCGGCTCTGCGCACTCCAGCTCTGTCTGTTAAGTTTAATTATCTCCTGGCATTTGTGCTAATAGTATCAATGGATAAAGCTATGCCTCGTGGGCTCTATGTATTATTATGCTGGGTGCCTATTAGGTGCGTAATTTACTGTCAGATATGGCTGATCTGACTCATCCTGACCACCTCGTGTGGACACTCACAATTGCATGTGAATGTTTTCATTGTCATGTAAAGCAGATGCAGCCACGACATGGCAGTTGTGTGCGTCTGGAAAGGAAAAACAGGGATAGTGCTTTATTCTCATATCACTCACTGTCAGTAGGTGTGCGACATTTGCGCACCAGTTCACACAGAAAACCTTCAAAGCCAGATTTTAATTTGGACACTGCCCCAACCCAATAGCAGTGTTATAATCCATCCGATCTTAATGGATCTAAAATGTTTTAGGAACAAAAATCTGATCAAAACCTCTGATTCTAGTCAGGAGGCGTGATTGAATGCATATTTGTTTTTAACACACCAACCAGACTTTACAGTAAACACACATTCTCACTCTTCTAAAACAGGCCTGAATGACGGGTATCACCTGCTATCATATTCTGGTGATCTTTGCAGGCTAATATCTGCAGTCATTAATACCCCTGCACCGACACAGTGTGTGTTTCTCTCTCTCTCTCTCTCTCTTCTCTCTTCTCTCTCTCTCTGTGTGTGTGTGGTGTGTGTGTGTGTGTGTGTGTGCCCGTGCACGAGCGCGTCCTCATCTTTTTTTCCTCTGCAGCAGGTGTTCGTTTAGTGTGTCAGAGTCGGCGGGGCGAAGATCTTCCAAAGTTAATATTGTGTTTCCAGAGATGATGGGGAGTTCACTGTCCTCGCTTTATTTACACATTCTAAATTAATTAAGCGAAGGATTCCTCTGTCTGTTGCAAAAACACGGAGGCTGGAGGATGACTGGGAGCAGCGAGGGGAGGCTGTGATTTATAGCGGCTGTACAGCTAAGGGCCGCGGCTCGGCTCTCCTCCAGGCCGGGGAGCCGCGGACCGGGCCAACATTCCTCTGTGGGGGCGAGAAGGCTCGTCTGCCGCGCACCGCCACACACACGGAAGAAGGGGGGAGAGAGAGAGATAGGGGAGGAAGGGGTGTTATAGGGGTAAGATATAGCCTAGACCTGGTTTCATGGAAAAGTAAAAGAAGTACGCTTAGGTCGGGGGACCACAAGTAGGACTTTTGCGGTGTGTGTGT